AAAAATTAAAATGGCCTGATGATCTCAAAATTATCTTCATCTGAAATAAGATTATATGCTGACGACATGATGTTTTTTTTGAAAATCTTTTCGAAAAACTTTTGTGAATAACACATTTTTGAAGTAAGGGTTTAGGTATGTCTTTTCACTGACTCAATAAGAAAGAGTCAGCGAGAGGGAATACCTAAACTTCAACTCCAAATGACTAGATGTAGAATATGCTTAGGCTCAAAAAAATTAAATATACATTTGAAGAAACTTTAATGCACCAATTACTAAGGATAATTACTAAAGATTATAAGAATACAAGTTCAGTTCCGAGAATATATTAACAAATTTTTAAATATGTACAGAATATTCGCTTTCCTTTAATTTCGTCTATTTCACCTTTATACGAAAAATGCAGTGTCAAAAAATAATGTTTCAGGCCAAAGTGGCACATCATGGTCTCTGTTTAGATGGTTTCTCGATCGAAGAAATAATAAAAATATTAGACAGCTTGATACAAAGAATGCAAAAACTCCTTTGGAGGAATATGTATTTACGATACCAAAGGAGGATCTGCTCATACATCCTTGCCTTGTATCAGACAATATATTAGTCAAATTTCCGCCCACGAAAATAATGGTAATTTTTTGTTATAATTGTTGACTATGCAAAGTGTAAAACGTTCTGTTCTCGCTATTAAGATTGAATATTTCGGAACATCTTATACGCGTAACAAATTTGCTTTTAGGCGGCGCAATTTGATCCGTTTCTCGATGATTCCGTCACTTTTGCGAGAAGACTTCGTTCTCTCGGCAACAATGTTACATTGGATATAATGCCGGATGTGCCGCATGGATTTTTAAATTTAATTAACGTAAAGCTTCTTTTTGTTTCTCTTTATATGAGTGAATCAAAACAGTACATTTACATTATATTATTTTGTTTTTGTTATTTTTAGATTTCGAAAGAAGCGAGAAAAGGCATGAAACTTGGTGCTACAAGAATAAAAGAATTGTCAGAGCTATAATTGTGTAATATGAGATTTTTTTTGTTAAAATGTATATTTATATAAAATAAACATTCTTTAATATTGCATTTATACAACAAATATAATTATCTCTAGATGCAATCAAGTATTTACGAGATCATTTTCTACTAACATTTTCAACTAACAGGAATGGAAGATTGGTCTTTGGAAACGCGTTGTCCTCTCATTAAAGTAGAACAAAATTATTTTGATTTAATGGGTCAAACAAATGGATGGATACAACATATCGACATATTAAAAATTTGCTGTATTTCTGTAACTTTCACTACACAAACATTTCCCGATTTTAACAAATTAACTCATCATATGGTATGAGTGAAAAAACATTTAACATTATTATTATCATTTGAAGAAAATGATTGGGTGATTTTTAATATATAACAATCTGGTAAACATTAACGAATGGACTGCTTATTACGACTTATTTCCCGTCTTTATTTTATACACATATATTTGACATTATTTTATATTTTTATTCATTTTATTTATTTTCCTATATAAATCTGAGATATTAATTATATAATTATAATAGATTTAAAATGTTTTGTGTAATTTTTTGCATTTATATATATATAACATTATATTTGAGATATATATAAGCGTTTTCTAAATAATATCAATCAATATTAATGTTATATTTTTACAGATGTTTTATTCTAATAATAGCAAAATTTGAATGTGCTTAATTAAGAAAACTGTTACACAGAAAATAAGAAAACAGTAGGAAGCGCGCGCGCCTGTGTGTTTATGTATGTGTGTGGAGCATTTGTAATATATATATATATATATATATATATATATATATATATATATATACTATATATATATATATATATATATATATACAGGGTGTCCGGTAACTAACGGACCAATGATTAAGGGCGGATTCTCTGGCCAATTTGGAGATGATTTTTCCTTAGCAAAAATGTTTAGAAGTCAATAATTTTCGAGTTATAAGCGATTGAAAAAAATGGGTTTTTTTAAACTAAACGTTTTGGAGTTAAAAGTCTAACATAATTACATTCTTCAGTTAATTTCAGGTAGAGTTTACTATAATAAAATTTGAATTTGAGGCTTAGTTATAAAGATACATCATGACAAATATTAAAAAGTTGTATTGGAAATGATGACCTTTTTCGACATTTTCGCTGAGGAAAAATTGTTCCCAAATTGATCAAAGAATCCATTTATAATCGTTGGTCCGTTAGTTACCGGACCCTGTATATATAATATATACAACGATCTCAGAAGCTTTGTTGACCTTATACATCATGTTTATCATGATGATACGTACAGAGAATCAGTTAGTCTTTCGTGGTCTTTCGAACCATATCGTGGTAGATATAATGACAGTAATAAAGTGTGTGTGAATAATTATATTCTTCGAACATTGCACACTGCTAAAGCATTAATTTGCTGCAGTAATTTAAAAAATATATAATTTTATCCATATATAATTTTGCAATTAACATACTGTTCCGAAATATTAGGTAAGTCAAAATAAGTTAAAAATATATAAACATATATTTGTCTACAAACACAAAAAATATTTAATTGTACAGTATAACGGAATTTTACAGAATTTTTAACATATTATTATAAATAGAATAGTCTTATTCAAAATTATCTTTCAAATTTAATCCAGAGATAATTTCAAATAATGCCGACATTATAAAATTTTATGAATTGTAATGTCGAAATAATCGTAGACCCACAAAAGTTTTATAGAGAATATATTAATTCTGCAACTTAAAAATACTATAATTTATATAACAGATAACAAATTTTATAATAGACACTTTTAATTGTTTTTTCATTATTACAGATTATTATAATTTTATTTTTTCCATTTTTCGTACTTATTTTTTATAAAAAAGTATCTGCGCGCAATTTAATATTTAAAATAATTTTTATGTTGTACTGCCATTGAGTAGAATAACTTTAACAAAAAAGGATAATCAAATAGTAATTTAATTGAAGATTATGTATATATATAACAAAAATAAAAAATAGAACAATGCTTTCAATTTGTATTCGATATATCGCCTTATATAGGCAATGTATTATAAAAAATAAAAATAAATTACTTTTATTAAGTGAGAAATAAAATAACAATTAATAATAAGTAAAATTATATTACTCATAATACTTTATTTATACTCACCTTACTCATGTTTAATTTAAAATAAACAAAATACTAAATATTCTACATAAAATATTTTATATAAAACGCTCAAAACGTACGTTAATATTCAATTAGAAATGAAAAAACAATAGTTCATAGCAATCTAATAAGATACCCCGTTAAAGTTGAAACGTTTTCAAATATATAAATTAAATTAAATTTTTACTTTAATATTTAAAAACAATAATTTACATGTATTAATGCATATATTGATGGTGAGAATATATATAAAACAATAATATCAAATAGAAAGATGTGATAAAATAAGCATCGATAAAGATTATTGTTTTAATACTTAAACTCATTGTCAGAATTAATTAAAAATTTTAAAAATTATTTATTAATTATACATTATACAGTAAATTGATAGAACATGCTAATTGACAATCGAATGAAGAAATCTGTAATATTATAAATTTGAAGCAATTGTTAACACATCTATTTTGATGCGTATAATCTGAAATATCTGAAAAAAACCCACTATATACAGAAATTTTAAAAAATTGTAGTAAACCTGTTAATAGTAAATTTTTGAGATCATTTAAAGTTAATAAATGGTAGTAATTTAATTGACCAATTCTGGCAAATAATTAAATTTATTGTATTTTCACAACGTTTTGGCCGTAGGTTTCGGCCCTTATTATCAAGTGCTATGTTCTTAAATCACAACTTTTTTAAAAAACAAAAATTCGATCTTAAAATATGACATTATATAATAACATGATAGTATAATACGAAATAACTATGACACATAATGTCATATTTTAAGATCAAATTTTTATTTTTTAAAAAAGTTGTGATTTAAGAACATAGAGTTTGATAAGGGCCGAAACCCACGGCCGAAACGTTGTGAAAATACAATAAATTTAATTATTTGCTAGAATTGGTCGATTAAATTACTACCATTTTTTAATTATTATCTGGTGACTTCATAGTTTATATCATTTATTTAAAGTTAATGTTTCCTCTGCTAAAATGTCGAGATAGACTAACATTATTTACATGTTCCCAAATTTTCCATCATATATCTTTCTAATCAAACCTTAAAATAATATTCTATTAACAAAAACTCTACTTAAAGTTAATTGATGAATGTGATTTCGTTAATATTTGATTTCCATTAAGCTTAGTTTGCGGACAACCATTTATTTTCATTTTCTTATAACTCGACATTTATTAATACTTCTACATTTTCGCTGAGGAATGATCGTCTTTAAATGATATCAGGTATCTGCTTTTAACAGGTTTACTGCTAGTTTTGGAACATTATATATATAAAATTTATCATATATATAATTTAAACAATTTGAAATTGAATTTATGTTGGCTTTATTTCTCGGTAAATGTTTATTTAGAATTTATAATACACAATTTAAGAGAAAAAAGCAAACAAACCTTTATAAAAACATAATAATAAACATGTGCCCTCTTTTTCCTCTCGCCGCTTTTCAGTCTTTCTTATCCATACTGTCTTCTTCTTACTTTGAATGTACACACACGTACGTATGTATGTAGCAAGGACGGCTCTTGTGTTTACAAAAATAATTTACTTCAGGCAACTAATTTTATATATAAATCTTTATATTCCAAATAATATTTCAATAATTAGAAAGGTTTTTTACTTAATAATTTTAATACATTTTGTATTTATTTTTTTGTTTATATATTATAGAAGAACATTATACATTTAAAAAAGACATCTAAGCTATATTTAATTTCTTTATTCATCTTTTGTTCACAGTGTTCTACAGATCTAAAATAAATATTCCTTTTCTTCGACATAATGATATTTCTAAAACTATTATTAAGTAGCGGAATAATTTTTATTGCTGTGGCAGCTTTCATTCGTAATGAATTTTCATGCTATCGACCATCAGAATATATAAAATCAGTGCATTACGATATCAAGCTTACCTCACATATTAAAGCAAAAACTTTTAATGGAGAATACAATATCAGCATAAACATTCTTAATAAAACGAGACACATATATTTACATTCAGAAAAATTATGTATTAACGATATAGTTTTAATTACAAATTTTGGAAAATATGAGAATGATAAAGATACAGTTTATAAACCGACATATAATACTACAGAAAACTCAATTGACATTTTCTTTCTGGATGAGTTATCACCTGGAAGGTACATCTTAAATATAAAATATTTAGGCGCTACTGATAAAGGCTTTAAAATTTTTGATATAAAAGGAAAAACTGCGTAAGTAAATGATAAATGTTTATTAAATAATGTACAATATGCAAATACATAAGACATTGTTATTAATATACTATATATTTATGTATTAAATATTCCAAATGTTATCACATATCGCGGAATTTAAATCCAAGTGTAAATCTATACCTTTATTATTATAATAATATATAATAAAGTCATAAAATATAATATGTGTTGACGAATATAACATTTATACATTTTTCAATTTCTAATATTTTTAGACTTGTCAAAATAATTCATTAATTTATGTTCTTTGAAATGTAGTTGGGTAGGTGCTCCGCATTTCCAGATAATAGGCGGCCGACAAGCGTTTCCATGTTTGCATAATTTATCGTTAGAAGCAACCTTTAACATTTCTTTGGGATGTTATAACTGCATTACTTTGTCAAACACGCCATTGCGAAATACGGAAAGAGATAAGTACAATTTGCAATGGAGACACTACAATACCACACCTGTAATGTCGATTCATCACGCAACAATGATTGTGTCTAATTACTTATTCCCTCGTCGTATCAAAACTCAAAACATTAATATGTGGTGCAGACATAAATCTGAATTTCACATGGATATTGCAATGTATGCAGCTGAACATATCAAGTTGTTTTTTCAAGATAAATGGAAACGTTCGTACAATATATGGAACGTGAATCATGTTGCAATTCCAAATTTCCATGACAAAGATATAACAGTTTTCGGAGTTGTTCTTTATAGGTGAGTACAAGTGCTTCAAGTTACGTTAAAAATAAAATTATATTTGTATGCAAAATTATAAAATTAAAAAAAAAATTAAAGTTTTTTGTTTCTGCAAACGTTCAAATGTATAAGGAATTACAAAAACCACAATTTTAGTAGAATTAAATTTATTCATAATATATTACAAAATTTAATTTTATCGTTTTAATACGTACATAAAGGATAGAGTATGCTAAATCGTACCTAAAGTAGATGTTGAAACTGCAATAAAGCTATAAAATAAATGACATTTTTTTATATATATTAAACTGTTGTTTTTGTGAACGATATTCACATCAACAGAAATTTATCGTTATTTCATATTCTAAATTAAAAAATAAAAAATATTTCGTACGATTTACAATACTGATTTGCTACATTGTACTTATGAGTTCGTAAATTGTACATCTAGCAATTAAATTCAATTATTTTAACAAAAATAAAGTAATATTTTCTATAAAACATTTTAGTCTTAACATTTAGATATAACTTTCAGGGAAACAGATATCATCTATGATAAACAATTATGTCCTATTGCTAACAAAATTGAAGTAACTCAATTAGTAGGACGTAAAGTGACACAGCAATGGTTTATTGACATGATGAACGATCCGTCAGTGTCGGATTTTTGGTTTAAAAAAGGTCTTACTACATGGCTTGCAACGTATGCTGTCGACCAGGTTATTCTAAATATTGTCAATGCTATCTTGCTCTCAACTTTTTGCAAACGATATAATACTTAAGCATTCATATTGCAAGATATTTTTAAATCAAATCCTTTTTACATAATCTACATATACGTATTCTTTGTGAATTGTCTTAAAAACATTTAGCAATTTATAAAATAAACAACTGTTTTTTGAAAAATGATTTTTTTCACATATTTACATACATATAATTACTATTTGATTTTTAAAAAATTTATATTTTTCAACATTACTTTATTAGACATTATTAAATTTTTATAAAATCTAAAATAAAATAAAATAATCAAAAACTAATACACATAATATTTATTTTAAAAAATTTGTTAAAAAGAAGTCTACAATATAATATCATGAGACAATAATTTTAAAAATATGTAATGTTTGCTTATTATATCAATACAAAATTTTAAATTATATTATATTTATTTTAATGTGCGCTCTGCAAAATGAGAGTGTTTCGTTTTAAGAATGAAATAACGTTAACAATATTAGTATTTGTATTTTAACAACGGTTATATTGATATATTAATCATTTTTTTCTATAGATTTATCCAAATTATCAAATAATCAATTTATTTGTTGTTCAAAATCAACATTACTCTTTTAATTTGGATAGTTATTATATGTGGCCTTCTACTTCACAAGTTAACAGTTCATTGGAAATTCCCAATTCTATCAGAGGTATACGTAATATAATAAAATAGTCTTCTTAAATTTTCAACTATTAATATTTTAAAATATGTGTAAAGTTAAAAGATAATTAATTCTTTATTTGGATTTTAATTAAATATTATTTTTATAAAAATACACACACCTACACCCACACATACACACACGCATGCACAAAATGTCCGGTAATAGCCGCACATATGTAGATAGAGGGAATTAATTAAATGGTTCTTCAAAGATTTGCTGTAAATAAAATGATAAACGGTGCGGCAATAAAAAACATTTCACTTTTACGTGACTACTACGCTGTATACATATACAATATAATTTTCCTTGAAAAAATTGTTATGTTTACAAGTAAATATATATTTATAATAAGAATAAATATATATTTATAATATATCTAATTCATAATTTTTATGTAAATTGTAGCACCCTTTATACTGCGCATGATGCAACACGTTCTCACAGATGAAATATTTCAGAAAGGCATAAAGACATATGTATATAAGTAAGTAATACGATATAAGAGTGAGTAATACAATACAATATAGAATATAATATAAAAAAAATAAAATTGTACAACATAAATGTAGTAATAATAGAAGTTTTATATAATGTCTCTTATTTTCTTTCATTTCTTCTGACATTATTTCATAACGTTTTTTTCTTAGTGTTACAATTCCATTACTTTTCTAGATCTTCTACTAGAATTATTTTTAAATTCATTAATTTTCTATGAAAACCGTTTGTGTAGAAAGAAATTGTTGTTTTATTGTTATCACTATTTCATATACACATTGGTGCTTTATTTTTGTTTCATGATTTGTTATTTTTTTTAATAATTTTGAAATTATTTTTATTCTTTTAATTATTTCCTCTATTTCTTTATATCATTTGTAATTCTTATAATATCTATTTTTTTATTGCATATTGTGCTACATTTGACTTCTAATCATATTTAACAGGTTTTTATATGTCACTCTTATATCTCTTTTCTATTACTTTTCTATTTTTATTTTCTTCTCTCGTAATATTATGCGCTTATAGAATTCTTTTAATAATTTTGAAATTATTTATATTCATTTTACTATTTCCTTAATTTCTATATTTCATTTATAATTCTTATAATACCTGTTTTTTTAATTGCACTTGTGCCACATTTGCTTTCTAATCTTAGTTAACAGATTTTTATATATATAACATTTATATCTCTTTTCCATTATTCTTTTTATTTTTATTTTCTCTTTTTTGTAAATCGATCTTTTTTATATTATTTTTCTTATTTTTCTTTTGTCTTCAACTTCTTATTACTTTTTTTTTTAATTATTCTATACTCTCTCAATACTTTGCTCAAATAAAATCTTTATTAATGCTAATAATGCCTAAAAAAATTAATAAAATTGTTAAATTTATTTAAAACTATGTTATATTCTTTATTATCAGAACATAAATATAAAATATATTTAAACATATAAATTGAAGTGCAATTTTATATTTTGCTTTTTAGTATTTAATAAAATTTTTTTAATATTAACACATTATACAGGCAGTTTTAACATATTTATGATATTCTTTTATATATTTTACACTTTGTGTATTTAGCCTATTACATAGTGACTTTGTGGAACTTATGAAATATTCTGTTTCAACAAACAATGGAGATATTGCTTTACAACTTACAAAAATGGAAGATTGGGCTTTGGAAAAGCATTGTCCTCTCATTAACGTAGAACGAAATTATTATGATACAATGTTTCAAGGATATGTACGGATAGAATATGGCGACATATTAAAGATTCGCTGCATTTCTGTAACATTTACTACGCAAAAATTTCCCGATTTTAACAATTTAAATCATCATATGGTATGCGCGGAAAAACGATTCAAATTATTATTACCATTTGAAGAAAATGGTTGGGTGATTTTCAATATACAACAAACTGGTAAATATTAACGAATGGACTGCTTACTACGACTTATTTCCCGTCTTTATTTTACCACATATATTTGATATTAATTCATATTTTTATTCATTTTATTTATTTTTTTATATAAATCTAAGATATATATTATATAATTATAATATATTTAAAATGTTTTGTGTAATTTTCTGCATTATTATATATATAATATTATATATAAGTTATAAACACATAAAATTAATAATAAATTTAGGTAATACAATTATTGTAACATTACATATTACGGAAATTATATATATTGGAAAACATAAAATTATTATTATTTATGCACAACTATTGTCTGTGTTAGAATCAATTTTATTTAATGATACACAACAATATCTTGCACAGTTTTATTTTTTCTAATATTTCAAGTATTATGATTACATTTTTATAATTCATTTTCTATATGTATTTGCATTTTATTTATATGTATTACATTTTTGATACGTTTTAATTTATAATTTATATAAACAGAAATATGAAACCAAAACGTTTGAAAATGAATACATTATAATAATAAAATTATTCAAAACAATAGAAATTGATAAAACTCATTTACTATTCGACAGGATATTATCGCGTTAACTATGATGTATTGAATTGGCGAAAAATTTCATATTATCTAGACTCTGATAAATACACGAAAATTCATGTTCTTAATCGTGCTCAAATTATCGATGATGCATTTCATTTAATGATAGGAGGCCAACTCCATTCATTTGTATTCTGGAATATCATAAAGTATTTGCAACGAGAAAGAGATTATATAGCATGGTATCCTTTTTTTAAAGCTCTGGAATACTTATCCAGTACTTTTATAGTGTTGGAAGAAGGAATTGAGAAATTGACGGTAAATATTAAGGAATTTCAATGAAAATGCATTTCAGATATTTGCATATGCACTCATTTACTAGAAAATGTTTAAATAGATAGAAAAACATATACCGCAACGTTAAAATTTTACATACTATTATACTATTATATATATGTATGTTTATTTCATAGAAAGAGAAAATTTTAATAATCTATTGGAAAATAATGAAAAATATATTATTTTTAAATACATTTATAATCTGAACGTATAAATATATAATTAACGATTTTTAGTCTGAAGTAAGACAAATATTACACGAGATACTTAAAAGAATCAAATATGAAGAAATTGATGATACAGACGAACTCAGAATATGTTTACGACAAGAAGCTGCAAGATGGGCATGTTTTTTCGGTGACATCACTTGTAAGAAAGTAGCCAATAATAAATTAACACAACATCTCCAAGATCCTGCAAAATACAAGTAAATATTGTTACATATTTTTGCCTTTCTTAATCAAATTTTTTTGTAGGTATCGTCTATAATGTTCAAATAATTTAATCATAAGATCTATATGCTTAGCTTTAATATAAAAATATAATTTTTGTTTGTTTTAGACTTTTGCCATGGTGGAAGGAATGGACATATTGTAAAGGTTTGATGATAACTACCATAAACAACACCACATGGGAATTAGTGTATACTAAAGGATTGAACAAATCTGACTCTAAATTTTTAAAATACTTGGCTTGCCCCGAAAATATTAATCTCATCAAAAAATATTCAACACTTGAACAAAACATTTCTACAGCACAGAAATATCCAAATTCTTTTAACAGTTTCTTACATATTATTACGAAGCATACAAAGAATCCAACTATACTGAAATACATATTAGATCATTTTCACGTAATAAAACCAAAGTAATGTGACATATCTTTATAATTATTGTGTACAAAAGTTTATTATGTGTGTTATATATACAATTGCTTTTTCGTTTTTAGAAATGTTAGTATAACTGCAGCATTAATTACTATTATTAACAACGTATATTCTGTAAATCAAACTGAGGTAAAAATTTTACGTGTTTATATATGTATACAAAATGTGATGATAATAATGCAATATTTATAATTATTATTTAATGTTTAAAATAATTTTGATAATGTTACATCAACGTTATTTATTTATGATGTTAAAAAACTAATACATTTTAGGAAATAAACAAATACGTTCAAAGGGTAAAGGCCGAAGCATTTCTATTAGATAAAATGAGAAACACAAAATATTTTAGAAGTTTTCACTTAGAAAAGGTAAATAAATATTATTATGGAAAACGAATGTAAGAGAAATATTGTTTTGTCTTATTAATTTCTGAATATTAATTTTATATTTGTTTTATTTATTATATAAAGAGGATATTAATTTTATAGTCCAAATCTTTGTTTATATATATTAGATTTACATAGAGCGGATTTCTGACAAAATTGAAAGCCATATATCAATTCGCAACCGTCAAATCGAAAGACTGAGAGAATATTTTGGCAGATTTTTCTTGTGATGAAAAATTTAAAATAAAAAAATTGCAGCTTCGCATGGGTGGATATACTTCATATAAATATTGTTTTTATATTGTATCTACTTTATTTGTATGTAATTTATTTTACTGTTTTAATTATTATTTATTTAGATGTATTACTATTCCATGTTTTTGTATTTACAAATATTTATGACTGCATGCATCAAGTTTTTCATTTTTTTGCGAACTTGCTATGTAATTGAACTATATATTATTTCCTATGTTCACAAGAAGATAGCCATATAATATTACTATAAATTTTATTCTTAGACATAAAATAAAAATATAATTGTATAAATTTAAATTATATATATATATATATATATATATATATATATATTAATATTTGTTAAATGATAAATAAACTATCTATATTTTGAATTACATATATTGACTTGTTTTTAATTTTTTTACGTGAATTAATCTAAATATATGTTTGCGCACACACACATACACATACACACATGTATATATCTATATGTGTGTATAAATATATATATATATATATATATATATATATATATTATATATACACATCCTTACGTAACAAAACTACAAGAAAATGAATAAATTATTAGTATAACAATATATTAAGGATTGTTGAGATAATTATTAAAATTATAAAATTTAAAAATTATTAAATAAAAATATCTAATGAGTGATGAGAATATTATGAGATATTACACCATTATTTTGGTAAAATTTTTTTCGAAATAAGTAATATAAATTTCTAAATAATGCATATTTATTTGATTAATTGAGTAAATTTTGAATGTGCTTAATTACGACAATTGTTACACACAAATGCCGCCAAACACACATACACACACGCACACACTTATTTATGTATATATATAACGACCTCAGAAGTTTTGTTGACCTACCACATCATATTTGTCATGATGACATGTATAGAGAATCAGTCAGTCTTTCGTGGTCTTTCGAACCATATCGTGGTAGATTCAATAATTCTAATAAAGTGTATGTGAATAATTATACTCTTGGACCATTGCATACTGCTAAAGCATTAAGTTGCTGCAGTAATTTAAAAAATATATAATTTTGATCCATATAATTTTGCAGTTAACATACTGTTCCAAACCTATTAGGTAAGTCAAAATAAGTTAAAAATATAAAAACATATATTTGTCTACAAATACAAAAAAAATTTAATTGTACAGTATAACGGAATTTTGAAGAATGTCCAACATATTATTATAAATAGAATAGTTTTATTCAAAATTATCTTTAAATTTTAATCCACAGAGATAATTTCAAATAATTCCGACATTATAATATTTAATGAATTGTAATGTTGAAATAATCGTGAACCCACAAAAGTTTGATAGAGAATATATTATTTCTAAAACTTAAAAATACTATAATTTATATAACAGATAATAAATTTTATAATAGACACTTTTAATTGTTTTTTCATTATCATAAATTATTATAATTATATTTTCTCCATTTTTCGTACTTATTTTTTATAAAAAAATATCTGCGCGCAATTTAATATTTAAAAAATTAATTCTAACAAAAAGATTTAGTTTTGTTGGGATAACGCACTGTCATCCGCGATTTAGCTCTTATTGCCTGTTTGACACTTTAAATTTATATTTATATTACAGAGCCTTGTTAAACTCTTAATTAATATTTAAAATAATAATAAAAATTAAAGAAAGCTGACTTAAAAAATATTCTTATTATTTAAAATAATGTTTATGTTGTACTGCCATTGAGTAAAAAAACTTTAACAAAAAAGGATAATCAAAATTCAATTGAAGATTATGTATATATAACAAAAATAAAAAATAAAACAATGCTTTCAATTTGTATTGGATATATTGCCTTATAAAGGCAATGTATTATAAAAAATGAAAATAAATTAATTTTATTAAGAGAAATAAAATAACAATTAATAATAAGTAGAATTATATTACTCATAATACTCATTTATACTTATCTTACTAATGTATAATTTAAAATAGACATAATACTAAATATTTAATTAGAAATGAATAAACAATAGTTTATAGCGATCTAATAAGATACTCGATTAAAGTTGAAACGTTTTCAGATATTTAAATTAAATTTAATTTTTACTTTTATAATTAAAAACAATAATTTACATATATTGATACATATATTGATGGTAAGAATATATATAAAAAAATAATATCAAATAAAAAGATTTGATAAAATAAGCATTGATAAAAATTATAGTTTTAATACTTAAACTTATTGTCAGAATAAATTAAAAATTTTTAATAATCATTTATTAATTATACATTATACAGTAAAACCGTATATTTGAGAATTGCCAGACAAAATTTATAAAAGTAACACTCGTCTCTCGACCGTACTGGCAAATATTATTTATTAGATCACAACGTTTCAACCCTTCTTTGAGTCCTTATCAAGTGATCTAGATATACTTAGAGAAGAAATACAGTGCAGAGATTAATACAATAAAAAAATTAATTTACTTAACAATATTACAAAATAATAAAAAAAAAAACAAAACATACTTGTGAAAATAAAAACAAAATTATAATTTTAAGATGTCAAGAACGAATATAGTGTCGGTTTGACAACACGTCAAGACTCTTAGACGAGTTATGAGAAAAATTATTATACAGTAAATTGATAGAACATGCTAATTGACAATCGAATGAATAAATCTATAATATTATAAATTTGAAGCAATTGTTAACACATCTATTTTGATGCGTATAATCTGAAATATCTAAAAAAACCCCACTTTATACAGAAATCCCAGAAATTGTAGTAAACCTGTTAATAGTGGATTTTTGAGATAATTTGGAGTTAATGTTTTCTCCGCGAGAATAATCGAGATAGACTAACATTATTTACATGTTCCCAAATTTTCCATCATATATCTTTGTAAGTAATCAAACCTTAAATTAAAGTTCTATAATAATAACTCTACTTAAAGTTAAATGACAAATGTGATTTTGTTAATATTTTATTTCCACAAGGTTTAGTTTGAGGAAAATCATTTATTTTCAATCTCTTATATAACTCGACATTTATTGATACTTCCACATTTTCGCTGAGGAATAATCGTCTCCAAATGATATCAGGTATCTGCTTTCAACAAGTTTACTGCTAGTTCTGGAACATTTTATAAATAAAATTTATTATCATATTTATAATTTATACAATTTAAAATTGAATTTATGTTGGCTTTATTCTCGGTAAATGTTCGTTTAGAATTTATAATACACAATTTGAGAGAAGAAAGCAAACATTTTGAATGTACACACACGTACGTATGTATGTAGAAAGAATGGTTCTTGTGTTTACAAAAGTAATTTACTTCAGGCAACTAATTTGATATACTATAAATCTTTATATTCCAAATAATATTCTATACATTTTAAATGTTTTGCATATTGTTTTCTGACCATATAATATTAAAATAATTAGAATGGTTTTTCATTTAATAATTTTAATACATTTTGTATTTATTTTTTTATTTATATAGAAAAACATTATACATTTAAAAAAGACATCTAAGCTATATTTAATTTCTTTATTTATCTTTTGTCCACAGTGTTCTACAGATCTGAAATAAATATTTCTTTTCTTCGATACAATGATATTTCTAAAACTATTATTAAGTAGCGGATTCATTTTTATTGCTGTGACGGCTTTCATTCGTAATGAATCTTTGTGCTATCGACCATCAAATAATATAAAACCAATGCATTACGATATCAAGCTTACATCATATATTGATAAAAATATTTTCCATGGAGAATACAATATCAACATAAACATTCTTCACAAAACGCAACACATATACTTACATTCAGAAAAATTATGTATTGACAATATAGTTATAATTACAAATTTTAAAAAATATAAAAATGATAAAGATACAGTTTATAAACCGACATATAATACTGAAGAAGACCCAATTGATATTTCTTTTATGAATGAATTATCACCAGGAAATTACATTTTAAATATAAAATATTTTGGCACTGCTGATAAAGGCTTTAGAATTTTCGACGCAAAAGAAGCTGGAACTGTGTAAGTATATAATAAATAATATATGATATTCTAAATCGCGCGCGCGGCCAATAGAGCCAAAGCGCGAAAAATTAATTCTTCGGAACTGTATCTCTTGGTTTGAGATTACTAAGTTTCATATATGAATTAATCTCGAACTTACATATGGAGAAAATAGGCGAGAAAAATATAGGTCCGAAAACTAACATCTACTAAAAAGGCAAATAAAAAATATAGGATCGAAAGGGTCTGAATAGCTTAGTGGGTAAGCAGTCGCCCGAAAAGTGAAAGACGGGAGTTCGATTCCCGCTTCAGCGACTTTTCGGACCTATATTTTTCTCGCCTATTTTCTTCATATGTTAGTTCGAGATTAATTTATATATGGAACTTAGTGATCTCAACCCAAGAGATACAGTTCCGAAGAATTAATTTGTCGCGCTTGAACTCTCTATTGGCCGATTTAAAATATCATATATTATTCTTAATATTGAGAGCCAATAAAAATATTTCTCATTTAATTAAATAATAAATGTTTATTAAAAAGAGTACAATATGCAGTTACATAAGATGTTGTAATTAATATACAATTTATGTATTAAATGTCCCAAAAATTATTGTATATAAATCTAATAAGAAAGAGTAAATTGCTCTCTATCACTCTCTCTCTCTCTCTCTCTCTCTCTCTCCCTCCCTCTCTTTCTTTACCTTTATTATTACAATAATATATAACAAAGTCATAAAATATAATGTGTTGACGCATATAACATTTATACATTTTTAAATTCCCAATATTTTTATGTTTGTCAAAAATGTCATTAATTTATGTTCTTCGAAATGTAGTTGGGTAGGTGCTCCGCATTTCCAGATAATAGGCGGCCGACAAGCGTTTCCATGTTGGCATTCAAATAATTTATCGTTAGACGCAACCTTTAACATTTCTTTGGGATGTTATAACTGCACTACTTTGTCAAACATGCCATTGCAAAATACAGAAATAGATGAGGACAATTTGTTATGGACAAACTACAATACCACACCTGTAATGTTGACACATCACGCAACAATAATTGTGTCTAATTACTTATACCCCCTTGGTATCAAAACTGAAAACATTAAAATGTGGTGCAGAGTAGAAACTAAATATCACATGCAATTTGCAAAATATGTAGCTAAAAATATCACGTTGTTTTTTCAAAATAAATGGATACGTTCGGACAATATTTGGAACGTGAATCATGTTGCAATTTCAAATTTCCATGACAAAGGCATAACAGTTCTCGGACTTGTTTTTTATAGGTGAGTACTACTGCTTTAATTTACATTAAAAATAAAATTATATTTGTATGCAAAATTATAAAATTTAAGAACATGTATATCTTTTGTTTCTGTAAACGTTCAAAAGTATAAAAAATTGCAAAAACAACAATTTTAGTGGATTTAAATTTACTCATATTATTTTGCAAAGTTAAAGTTTACCGTTTTAATACGTACATAAACGGCAAAATATGTATGTTAAATCGTACTCTCTAAGATAGGTGTTAAAACTGTAATAAAACTATAAAAAAAAATGACATTTTTTTATTTATTTCAAATTATTGTTTTTTTTTTCACAATATTCACATTAACAGAAATTTATCGTTGTTTCATATTGTAAATTAAAAAATAAAAAAATATTATTTCGTACAATTTACTGATTTGGTGCATTATACTTATAAGTTTGTAAATTGTATATCTAACATTTAAATTCAATTATTTTAACAAAAATAATGTTATATTTCCTGTAAAAGTTCTCAGTCTTAACATTTAAATATACCATTCAGGGAAACAGATATCATCTACAATAAAAAATTATGTTCTATTGCTAACAAAATCGAAGTAGCTGAATTAGTAGGACGTAAAGTGACACAGCAATGGTTTATTGACATGATGAACGATCCGTCAGTGTCGGACTTTTGGTTTAAAAAAGGTCTTACTACATGGCTTGCAACGTATGCTGTCGATCAGGTTATTCTAAATATTGTCAATGCTATCTTGCTCTCAACTTCTTGCAAACGATATAATACTTAAGCATTTATATTGCAAGATATTCTTAAATCAAATCCTTTTTACATAATCTACATATACGCATTCTTTGTGAATTGTCTTCAGAACATTTAGAAATTTATAAAATAAACAACTGTTTTTTGAAAAATGATTTTTTTACATATTTACATACATAAAATTATTATTTAATTTTTAAAAGATTTATAATTTTTAACACCACTTTATTAGACATTATTAAATTTTGATAAAAGCTCAAATGAAATAAAATAATCAAAAACTAGTACACATAACATTTATTTTCAAAAATTTGTTAAAAATAAGCCTACAATATAATATCATATAACAATAATTTAAAAAATATGTAATGTTTGTTAATTATATGAATACCAAATTTTAGATTATATTATATTTATTTTAATGTGCGTTCTGCAAAATAAGTGTTACGTTTTAAGAATAAAATAACGTTAACAATATTAATATTTGTTTTTAATTCAAGTATTTTAAAAACGGGTATATTGATATATTAATAATTTTTTTCTATAGACTTATCCTGATTATCAAATAATAAATTTATTTGTTGTTCAAAATCAACATTACTCTTTTAAATTGGATGGTTATTATATGTCGCCTTCTACTTCACAAGTTAACAGTTCATTAGAAATTCCCAATTCTATGAGAGGTATACGAAATATAATAAAATAATCCTTGCTATTTTAAAGTATGTGTAAAATTAAAAAATAATTATTTATTTATTTAGATTTTAATTAAATATCATTTTTCTAAAAGTACACACCCACACATGCATGCACAAAATGTCCAATAATAGCCGCACATATGTAGATAGAGAAAATTAATTAAATGGTCCTTCAAAGATTTGCTATAAATAAAATGATAAACGGTGCGGCAATAAAAAATATTTTACTCTTACGCGCTTATTACGCTGTATACATATACATATGCAATATATAACTTTTCTTTTAAAAATCGTTATGTTTACAAGTAACCATCAAAATAAATATATATTTATAATATATCTAATTCATAATTTTTATGTAAATTGTAGCACCCTTTATACTGCGCATGATGCAACACGTCCTCACAGATGAAATATTTCAGAAAGGCATAAGGACATATGTATATAAGTAAGTAATACGATATAAGAGTGAGTAATACAATATAGAATATAATATGAAAAAAATAAAATTGTACAACATAAATGTAGTAATAATAGAAGTTTTATACAATGTCTCTTATTTTCTTTTGTTTCTTCTGACATTATTTCATAACGTTTTTTTCTTAGTGTTACAATTCTATTACTTTTCTAGATTTTCTACTAGAATTATTTTTAAATTCATTAATTTTCTATGAAAACCGTTTGTGTAGAGAGAAATTGTTGTTTTATTGTTATCACTATTTCATATACACATTGGTGTTTTATTTTTGTTTCATGATTTGTTATTTCTTTTAATAATTTTGACTCACAGATGAAATATTTCAGAAAGTCATAAGGACATATGTATATAAGTAAGTCATACGATAAGAGTGAGTAATACAATATAGAATATAATATAAAAAAAATAAAATTGTACAACATAAATGTAATAATAATAACAGTTTTATATAATGTCCCATTATTTTCTTTCGTTTTTTCTGACATTATTTTATAATGTATTTTTCTTAGTGTTACAATTCCGCTATTTTTCTAGATCTTCTACTAGAATTATTTTTAAATTCATTAATTTCTTATGAAAACCATTTGTGTAGAAAGAAATTGTTGTATAATCGTTATCTTCATTTACATATATTTATTGTTGTTTTATTTTTGTTTCATGATTTGTTATTTCCCTATAAGCGCATAATATTATTTAATATTTAAGCAATATTCTAGGCATATTTTTATAATATTTAATATTCTAAGAATACGCTTAGCACATTAAATAATATCATGCGCTTATAAAATTTTTTTAATAATTTTGAAATTATTTATATTCATTTTACTATTTCCTTAATTTTTATATTTCGTTTATAATTCTTATAATATCTGTTTTCTTAATTGCACATTGTGCCACATTTGTTTTCTAATCATAGTTAACAGATTTTTATATATTAACATTTATATCTCTTTTCCATTACTTTTTCTATTTTTATTTTCTTCTCTTGTAAATCGATCTCTTTTATATTATTTTTCTTATTTTTCTTTTGTCTTCAACTTCTTATTAATTCTTTTTTTAATCGTTTTATACTTTCTGCATACTTTGCTCAAATATAATCTTTATTAATGCTAATAATGCCTAAAAAAATAAACAAAATTGTTAAATTTTATTTAAAATTATGTTATATTCTTTATTATCAGAATATAAATATAAAATATATATAAATATATAAATAGAAGTGCAATTTTATATTTTGCTTCATATTATTTATTAAAATTTTTTAATATTAACACATTAACAGACAATTTTAACATATTTATAATAATCTATTATATATTTTGCATTTTATGTATTTAGCTTATCGCATAGTGACTTTATGGAAGTTATGAGTCATCCAGTTTTAATAACAAATGATGATATTCTTTCACAACAAACAAAAATAGAAGATATTGCTTTACAACTTACAAAAATGAAAGATTGGGCTTTGGAGAAGCATTGTCCTCTCATTAAAATAGAACGTAATTATTTTAATTCAATGAGCCCAACAAATGTACGGATACAATATGACGACACATTAAAAATTCGCTGCATTTCTGTAACTTTCACTACGCAAACATTTCTCGATTTTAATAATTTTACTCATCATATGGTATGCACGGAAAAGGATTTAAAATTATCATTACCATTTGAAGAAAATGGTTGGATAATTTTTAATATACAACAAACTGGTAAATATTAACCAATGTACTGTTTATGACGACTTATTTCCCGTCTATATTTTGCACACATATAATTGACATTATTTCATATTTTAACTTATTTTATTTATTGTTCTATATCAATCTGAGATATTTATAATATGTATAACTATAACAGTTTCAGAATGTTTTGTATAATTTTCTGCATTATATATATATAATATTATATTTAAGATATACATAAGCGTTTTCTAAATAATATTATTCATAATTAATGTTATATTTTTACAGGTATTTTATATATTCCAATAATAGTAAAATTATTAAAAAGAGATAATTATATTTGTAAAATTAATAATAATAAGTTTAGGTTATACAATTATCATATCGATACATATTACAAAAATTATATATATTGCAGAGCATAAAATTATTACTATTTATTCACAACTAGTATCAATTTTATTTAATGATATACAACAATATCTTGCACAGTTTTACTTTTTCGATTATTTCAAATATTAGGATTACATTTTTATAATTAATTTTCTATATGTATTTGCATTTTATTTATATGTATTAAATTTTTAAAACGTTTTAATTTATAATTTATATAAACAGAAATATGAAACCAAAATGTTTGAAAATGAAAACATTATAATGATAAAATTATTCAAACAATAGAAATTGATAAAATTTATTTACTATTTGACAGGATATTATCGCGTTAACTATGATGAACAGAATTGGCAAAGAATTTCAACTTATCTAAAATCTGATAATACACGAAGATCCATGTTCTTATCGTCGTGCCCAAATTATCGATGATGCATTTAATTTAATGATAACAGGCGAACTCACAGGCGTTGTATTCTGGAATGTCATACTTTATTTGCAAAAAGAGGAAGATTATATACCATGGTATCCTATGTTAAAGCTCTGGAATACTTGTCCAGTACTTTTATAATGTTGAAAGAACAAATTAAGAATTTTACGGTAAATATTAATAAATTTCTATGAAAGTGCATTTCAGATATTTGCATATGCACTCATTTACTAGAAAAAGTTTAAATAGTTAGAAAAACATATACCGTAACGTTAAAATTTTACATACTATTATACTATTATATGTATGTATGTTTATTTTATAGAAAAAAAAATTTTAATAATCTATTGGAAAATAATGAAAAATATATATATTTTTTTAAATATATTTATAATGTGAACGTATAAATATATAGTTAACAATTTTTAGTCTGAAGTAAGACAAATATTACACGAGATACTTAAAAGAATCAAATATGAAGAAATTGATGATACAGACAAACTCAGAATACGTTTACGACAAGAAGCTGCAAGATGGGCATGTTTTTTCGATGACATCACTTGTAAGAGAGTAGCCAATAATAAATTAACACAACATCTCCAAGATCCTGCAAAATACAAGTAAATATTGTTACATATTTTTAGTTTTTCTTAATCAAATTTTCTTGTAGGTATCGTCTATAATGTTTAAATGATTTAATCATAAAATTTATATGCTTAGCTTTAATAAGTAAATATAATTTTTGTTTGTTTTAGACTTTTGCCATGGTGGAAGGAATGGACATATTGTAAAGGTTTGATGATAACTACCATAAACAACACCACATGGGAATTAGTGTATACTAAAGGATTGAAAAAATCTGACTCTAAATTTTTAGAATACTTGACTTGCTCCGAAGATATTAATCTCATCAAAAAGTATTTAACACTTAAACAAAATATTTCTACAGCACAGAAATATCCAAATTCTTTTAACAGTTTCTTACATATTATTACGAAGCATACAAAGAATCCAACTATACTGAAATACATATTAGATAATTTTCACGAAATAAAACCAAAGTAATGTGACATATCTTTATAATTATTGTGTACAAAAGTTTATTATGTGTGTTATATATACAATTGCTTTTTTGTTTTTAGAAATGTTAGTATAACTGCAGCATTAATTACTATTATTAACAACGTATATTCTGTAAATCAAACTGAGGTAAAAATTTTACGTGTTTATATATGTATACAAAATGTGATGATAATAATGCAATATTTATAATTATTATTTAATGTTTAAAATAATTTTGATAATGTTACATCAACGTTATTTATTTATGATGTTAAAAAACTAATACATTTTAGGAAATAAACAAATACGTTCAAAGGGTAAAGGCCGAAGCATTTCTATTAGATAAAATGAGAAACACAAAATATTTTAGAAGTTTTCACTTAGAAAAGGTAAATAAATATTATTATGGAAAACGAATGTAAGAGAAATATTGTTTTATCTTATTAATTTCTGAATATTAATTTTATATTTGTTTTGTTTATTACATAAAAAGGATATTAATTTCATTCTGCAAATTTTTGTTTATATATATTAGATTTACATAGGGCGGATTTCTGACAAAATTGAAAGCCATATATCAATTCGCAACCGTCAAATCGAAAGACTGAGAAAGAATTTTGATAACTTTTTCTTCTGGTGGAAAAATTTTAATTAAAAAGATTGCAGCTTTGCATGGGCGGTTATACTACATATAAATAATTTTTTTATATTGTATGTACTATTTATTTTACTGTTTTAATTATTAATTATTTAGATGTATTACTATTTGATGCCCCTGTAATTACAAATTTTTATGACTGCATGCATCAAGTTTTTCATTTTTTTGCAAATTTGCCTAATGTATTGTATTTGAACTATATATTATTCACAAAAAAGTACCCATATAATATTACTATAAATTTTATTGTTAGACATAAAATAAAACTATAAATGTATAAATTTTAATTATAATATATATATATATATATATATATATATGTGTGTGTGTGTGTGTTTGTTAATAATAAATAAACTATTTTTATTTTGAATTACATATATTGACTTATTTTTAATATTTTTACGTGAATTAATTTAAATATATGTTTGCGCACACAACGACACGCACAAAACCCACGCGCACACACGCGCGCGCGCACACGCGCACACACACATACACACATGTATTATATAGTATATATATAATGTGTGTGTGTATGTATATATATATCCTTACGAAAAAGATCTATAAGAATATGAAATAATTACTGTTATAACAATAATATATTATAAAAAAAGTATTATATTATATCAGTAATTTTATTGTATTTTTGTAGTTCTTTTTCGTACGGGTATATAATATAATGAGTTATTATTTAAAAATATTACAAAAATTTACAGCCAACATATATTATTTATACGCATTATTAAATTTGTTATTATCCAATAAATATATATATATATATATATATATATATATATATAAATTATATATGTTTGTATAACTATAAAAATGAGTACTATTGTATTAACGTTATATGTAAAGTAATTATAATTATATATATTGTATATATGTTCAATATTTAAATATTCTTTATATTTATAATATGTTATTATATAAAATCTGTGATTCATTAGCGTTTTTTACAATAAATCATCAGTTTGCAATAAATCACATAACACAATGTCTCTCTTCTCTCTCTCTCTTTCTCTCTCTCTCTCTCTCTCTCTCTCTCTCTCTCTCTCTCTCTCTCTCTCTCTCTCTCTCTCTATCTATCTATCTATCTATCTATCTATCTCTCTCTCGTGTAACATTTTAATTTCAATAAAGTTATTTAAATAAAATATTAATCTTTATATTAATATTTATAAAACTATATAACATAACTATAAAATTGTGCAACATAATTCGGCGCTATATTATTAATATTTTTAAGTAACATAAAAAATTGTAAAATCTATCAATTGAAATTTTAACTTAATTATATTTAATTTATTTTAACAATTACATTTAAAAGAGATGTAAGCATAGGTAGAAGATAAGAAGTTTTAAAAAATCTTTTATCATCAAATTGATATTTTCAATAAGTTTACGTCTAATAAATTAAAAATCTCTTATTATTTCATTTGTCTCTCTAATATTTATCGTTTCTTATTAGTTTTTAATGATAAATGTCAAATCTGTTTTAGCAAAATAAAATTTGTACAACAGTGTTGAAACATGAACATAAAATTCAAAAAAAGATAAAAATCCGTTATACTGAAATCGGAAAATAATTAATATAGCTTACAAAGTAGGCTATAAAAAGGGAGCTAGTATACGTAATACATGCACATTATCTAAATTATATATACATATGTATATATATATGTATGTATGTTAATAATGCATAATATATAATATTATATTTATAAATATTAGATGCATTATAATTTTTTAATATTTTTAAATAATTTATAATATTTTTATTAAATATATATATTAATTGGCTGATATATTATATATATATATATATATATTAATATTTAAATTATATTGCGCATGTGCGTGCGTGCGTGCGTCACTTTTGCGAGAAAACTTCGTTCTCTCGGCAACAATGTTACATTGGATGTAATGCCGGATGTGCCGCATGGATTTTTAAATTTAATTAATGTAAAGCTTTTTTTTGTTTCGCTTTATTTGAATGAATTAAACAGTACATTTACATTATATTATTTTGTTTTTGTTATTTTTAGGTTTCGAAAAAAGCGAGAGAAGGCATGAAACTTGGTGCTACAAGAATAAAAGAATTGTCAAGGCTATAATTGTGTAATATGAGATGCTAAAATAAAAATATGTATTAGAATAACATTAAAATATGTATTAGTATAACATTGAAAAAAGATGGTATAATATTTTGGTTAACACTACGTTCAATCTACAACAATTTTTATATGCCGTTGAATTGTTGCTTAGTTCGACTAGCTCTTGTTTAGACGGACAATTTGAGCAGATATGTGGAACTCTCATGAGTTCTCTATGTCCTTATCACCTATTTTGGCAGATCTTGTCATGGATGACTTAGAAACACACTGTCGTGCTTTGTTGCAATTTAATATCTCAATTTACTATAGATACGTCGATGATATTTTACTATTATTCCGCGGACTGAGGTTGGCACTATATAATAATACGTTAAGTTTTTTGGATCCGATCTCTTCGAGGAGGTATTTAAACTATTTCATTCGAACCATCCGTACAATTATAAAGTCAACGTGATTAACAATTTGGTTGATCACGCGAATTTTATTGTCTGATGAACGTTTTCATGCCAATAACATAGCTATTGTTAAAAATATTTTATGGAATAATTGTTTTTTGTCTGATATGAATGACTATCACGTCCAAAAAGATGGTACTTTTTGACTAAACGTGAAAACGAGATAAATAATGTGGATGCCAATGCGAGAGAATTCGATGTTTTTAATTGTATATTATTACCGTACATGAAAATTTTAAGTGAGAATATCAGCAGAACTTTGAAGAAGAGAGGCTTAAAAGTAATTTACACAATACCAAAAAGACTTGACAAACTAATTAATGTGGCAAAGATAAAATTGATACGATTGACATGAGTGAAGCAGTTTATAAATTGACTGTAATGATTATGACGCTACATACATAGGACAAACAAAAAGGCAATTAAATTCCCGAATTAAAGAACATATGAATAACATTAAATTGCATGTCAGTAATTATAGCGTAATTAGCAAACATCAGATGGAATAAATGTATGATTTTAAATGGACAACTTCGAAAATCTTGTACTACGAAAAACATAAGAGAAAGAGGGAAATCTCAGAAATGTTTTTTATTAAAAAACATAATAAAACACGACCAATTTACAAAAAGATACGGAAAGTTTAAATCCTATTTATGATAATATTATTAAAATCGTGTAACATTCCTCCCGTTCTCATTATGCGCCCTGTCATCGGCCGTGTAAACATCGTTTAATTAGACAATTCGACATCGATTGTCTGATTTTATATCATATAAGGTATGTTAAGATTTATTTGATTTCAATTTGTGGTTGTGAATTCTAATTCATTTTAATACATTATTTCAAAACTTGAAGAGGACTCAAACCAAGAGTCGAAACGGCGTCTATGTAACATCTTAAGAATAAAGAATACTTTTGACAGTCAGGTTGTTTGAAATATACCTGGTAATTTAATTTATTAAATTATTATTAAAATAATATAAATAGAATTATTAAGATAATTATTGAGATAGTTATAAAAATAATAAAATAAAGAAAATTCTTAAGACAAAATTATCGAAAGCGATGAGTACATTACGAGATATTACACTATATTATTTGTGAAAATTTTTCCCCCGTGAAATGTGAAGTAAAATATAATATATACCTACATACAATATTGTGTGTGTATATATATATATATATATATATATATATATATTATATACCCGAAGTATATATATATATATAACGATCTCAGGAATTTTGTTGATCTACCACATCATATTTATCATGATGACATGTACAGAGAATCAGTCAGTCTTTCGTGGTCTTTCGAGCCATATCGTGGTAGATATAACAACTCAAATAAAGTGCGTGTGAATAATTATATTCTTCGACCATTGCATACTGCTAAAACATTAATTTGCTGCAGTAATTTAAAAAATATATATTTTTCATCCATATAATTTTGCAATTAAACAAACTGTTCCGAAATATTAGGTAAGTCAAAATAAGTAGTATTATATAAAAATAAGTAGTAATATATAAAATATTTTATATAAATAATTTATGTTATATATTTTTGTAAAATATTTTATATAAAACGCTCAAAACGGATGTTAATATTAAATTAGAAATGAATAAACAATAGTTCATAGCAATTTAATAAGATACTCCATTAAAGTAGAAACGTTTTGGGATATTTAAATTAAATTTAAAATTCAAATTAATTTTAACTTTTTATTTCTTTTATAAATAAAACAATAAATTACATGTATTAATAATATATTGATGGTGAGAATATATATAAAAAATAATATCAAATAGAAAGGTTTGATAAAATAAGCATTGATAAAGATTATAATTTTTGTACTTAAACTCATTGTCAGTATTAATTATACATTATACAGTAAAATGATAGAACATACTAATTGACAATCGAATAAAAAAATCTATAATATTATAAATTTGAATCAATTGTTAACACATCTATTTTGATGCGTATAATCTGAAAAATCTGAAAAAACCCACTATATACAGGAATTCCAGAAATTGTAGTAAACTTGTTAATAGTAGATTTTTGAGATCATTTGGAGTTAATGTTTCCTCCGCGAAAATGTCGAGATAGACTAACATTATTTACTTGTTCCCAAATTTTCCATCATATATCTTTGTAATCAAACCTTAAATTAAAGTTCTATTAACAAAAACTTTACTTAAAGTTAATTGACGAATGTGATTTTGTTAATATTTTATTTCCACAAGGCTCAGTTTGAGGAAAACCATTTATTTTCAATCTCTTATAACTCGACATTTATTGATACTTCCACATTTTTGCTGAGGAATAATCGTCTCCAAATGATATCAGGTATCTGCTTTTAACAGATTTACTGTAGTTCTGGAACATTTTATATATAAAATTTATTATCAGATTTATAATTTATACAATTTAAAATTAAATTTATGTTGGCTTTATTCTCGGTAAATGTTCGTTTAGAGTTTATAATACACAATTTAAAAGAAGAAAGCAAACAAACCTTTATAGGAACAAAATAATAAACATATGCCCTCTTTTTCTCTCTCGCCGCTCTTCAGTCTTTCTTATCCGTACTGTCTTCTTATTTTGAATGTACACACACGTACGTATGTATGTAGAAAGAATGGCTCTTGTGTTTATTAAAGTAATTTACTTCAAGCAACTAATTTTATATACTATAAATCTTTATATTCCAAATAATATTCTATACATTTTAAATGTTTTGCATATTGTTTTCTGACCATATAATATTTCAATAATTAGAATGGTTTTTCACTTAATAATTTTAATACATTTTGTATTTATTTTTTTGTTTATATAGAAGAACATTATACATTTAAAAAGACATCTAAGCTATATTTAATTTCTTTATTTATCTTTTGTCCACAGTGTTCTACAGATCTGAAATAAATATTCCTTTTTTTTGACATGATGAATATTTCTAAAAACTATTATTAAGTAGCGGATTCATTTTTATTGCTGTGACGGCTTTCATTCGTAATGAATCTTTGTGCTATCAACACATCAAATAATATAAAACAATGCATTACGATATCAAGCTTAAATCATGTATTGAAGGAAATATTTTTTATGGAGAATACAATATCAGCATAAACATTCTTGACAAAACGCAACACATATATTTACTTTCAAAAAATTATGTATTGACAATATAGTTATAATTACAAATTTTAAAAAATATGAAAATGATAAAGATACAGTTTATAAACCGACATATAATACTGAAGAAGACCCAATTGATATTTCCTTCATGAATGAGTTATCACCAGGAAATTACATTTTAAATATAAAATATTTTGGCACTGCTGATAAAGGCTTTAAAATTTTCGACGCGAAAAAAGCTGGAACTGTGTAAGTAAATAATAAATAATATATGTGATATTTTATAAATCGGCCAATAGAGCCAAAGCGCGAAAAATTAATTCTTTAGAACTGTATCTGTGGTTTGAGATTACTAAGTTTCATATATAAATTAATTTCGAACTTACATATGAAGAAAATAGGCGAGAAAAATGTAGGTCCGAAAAGTCGCTGAAGCGGGAATCGAACCCGCGTCTTTCACTTTCCGAGCAACTGCTCTTACCAACTAACAATAAGCTATTCAAACCCTTTCGATTCTATATTTTTCATTTGCCTTTTTAGTAGATGTTAGTTTTCGGACCTATATTTTTCTCGCCTATTTTCTCCATACATAAGTTCGAGATTAATTTATATATGGAACTTAGTGATCTCAAACCAAGAGATACATTTCCGAAGAATTAATTATTCGCGCTTTTGCTCTATTGACCGATTTAAAATATCATATATTATTCTTAATATTGAGAGCCGATAAAACTATTTCTCATTTGATTAAATAATAAATGTTTATTAAAAAGAGTACAATATGCAGTTACATAAGATGTTGTAATTAATATACAATTTATGTATTAATGTCTCAAAAATTATTGTATATAAATCTAATAAGAGAGAGTAAATCTCTCTCTCTCTCTCTCTCTCTCTCTCTCTCCCTTTCTTTACTTTTATTATTACAATAATATACAATAAAGTCATAAAATATAATGTGTTGACGCATATAACATTTATACATTTTTAAATTCCCAATATTTTATGTTTGTCAAAAAATGTCATTAATTTATGTTCTTCGAAATGTAGTTGGGTAGGTGCTCCGCATTTCCAGATAATAGGCGGCCGACAAGCGTTTCCATGTTGGCATTCAAATAATTTATCGTTAGACGCAACCTTTAACATTTCTTTGGGATGTCATCACTGCACTACTTTGTCAAACATGCCATTGCGAAATACGGAAATAGATGAGAACAATATGTTATGGACAAACTACAGTACCACATCTGTAATGTTGATTCATCACGCAACAATGGTTGTGTCTAATTACCTATACCCCTGATATCAAAACACAATACATTAAAATGTGGTGCAAAGTAGAAATTAAATATCACATGCAATTTGCAAAATATGTAGCTAAAAATATCACGTTGTTTTTTCAAATAAATGGATACGTTTGGACAATATTTGGAACGTGAATCATGTTGCAATTCCAAATTTCCATGACAAAGCATAACAGTTTTCGGACTTGTTTTTTATAGGTGAGTACTACTGCTTAATTTACATTAAAAATAAAATTATATTGTATGCAAAATTTAAAACATGTATGTTTTTGTTTCTGTAAACGTTCAAAAGTATAAGGAATTACGAAAACAACAATTTAGTGGAATAAAATTTATTCATATTATTTTGCAAAGTTAAAGTTACCGTTTTAATACGTACATAAACGGCAAAATATGTATGTTAAATCGTACTCCTCTAAGATAGGTGTTAAAACTGTAATAAAAACTATAAAAAAAAATGACATTTTTTTATTTTTTCAAATTATTGTTTTTTTTTTCACAATATTCACATTAACAGAAATTGATCGTTGTTTCATATTGTAAATTAAAAATAAAAAATATTATTTTGTACGACTTACTGATTTGCTGCATTGTACTTATGAGTTTGTAAATTGTATATCTAGCAATTAAATTCAATTATTTTAACAAAAATAATGTTATATTTTTCTGTAAAAGTTCTCAGTCTTAACATTTAAATATATCTTTCAGGGAAACAGATATCATCTACAATAAAAAATTATGTCCTATGCTAACAAAATCGAAGTAGCTCAATTAGTAGGACGTAAAGTGACACAGCAATGGTTTATTGACATGATGAACGATCCGTCAGTGTCGGACTTTTGGTTTTAAAAAAGGTCTTATTACATGGCTTGCAACGTATGCTGTCGATCAGGTTATTCTAAATATTGTCAATGCTATCTTGCTCTCAACTTCTTGCAAACGATATAATACTTAAGCATTTATATTGCAAGATATTCTTAAATCAAATCCTTTTACATAATCTACATATACATATTCTTTGTGAATTGTCTTAAGACATTTAGAAATTTATAAAATAAACAACTGTTTTTGAAAAATAATTTTTTCACATATTTACATACATAAAATTATTATTTATTTTTTAAAAAATTTTAATATTTAACACCACTTTATTAGACATTATTAAATTTTAATAAAATCTAAAATGAAATAAAATAATCAAAAACTAATACACATAATATTTATTTAAAAATTTGTTAAAAAGAAGCCTGCAATATATTATCATAAGACAATAATTTAAAAAATATGTAATGTTTGTTAATTATATCAATACAAATTTTAGAGTATATTATATTTATTTAACGTGCGTTCTGCAAAATAAGTGTTACGTTATAAGAATAAAATAACGTTATATAACAATATTAATATTTGTTTTTATAATTTCAAGGGTATTTTTTAAGAACGGGTATATTGATATATTAATATTTTTTCTATAGACTTATATCCATGATTTTCAAATAATAAATTTATTTGTTGTTCAAATCAACATTACTCTTTTAAATTTGGATGGTTATTATATGTCGCCTTCTACTTTCACAATTACAACAGTTCATTAGAAATTCCCCATTCTTCGAGGTATACAAAATATAATAAAATAATCCTTGTAATTTGTAATTATAAATATT